TTTTTTTTTTTTTTTTTTTTTTTTTTTTTTTTGTTTTAGAGAAAATGAGTGCATCAAAAAGGAAGGCAAAAAGCCCGATGTGGCTTAATCCACGTGATGTTATGAAACGACATTTGAAACGAAGAAGCAGAAGGTACTGATATTTTGTCTGAAAAAACTACCAGAAACTTGAGCCTAATAAATTGGATACTTTTGCTGTTATCAGATGTGCATGCACTTCACTCAACAGCTATGCTGTACAACATTTCAAGTATCCAAAGGCTCATTATTTTATCTTAACAATAAATGAATATGGATTACTTGGTACTCTGCGTAAAAGCTGTCAGAATCTGATGATACATGATCAGTTTTAGCATCTAGTATCGTAGCACAAGAATTCCTTATTTATGTTTTTATCCTACTTTTCTATATTTGTTGAAAGCAACACCTTGCAGATGGACGTTAGTTTGAACATGGGCATCCATCAACTGTAAAACTTTTGAAAAGCTTTACAGTAGTATACTAATTAGTCATTAGTTGATTAAATCGTAGGTGCTTGTTGACTGAAACGCTCGCTTCATCGTCAGCTCCTAATCTTGATATTACAAACAATGCCGGTGAGCATTCGGTTAAATTTGGTAGTTCTGCAATTCGTCCATGCAACCCTTTCAAGGTAAATCGTTTGATTCAGCAGTCAAATCAGTTATGAATGTTGTACTTCTGATTTGAAAATGCTTAACTAATTCAATTCGATTTCGGACTTGGTACGTCAGAAAACCTTTGTACAATTTTTTTGACAAGCCGGAAACAAGATGTTTCTCAGTAAGACTGGGAAAGGTAAAACGGATTTAGTTTTTCGTTGAGTGAGTATCAAGCAGAAAGTGGAGTATATAAGTCGTCTGGTTGGAGAACCAACTTTACTGTGCTTCAGAAATTTGCAATAATTCGTCAGGTCGGGGAGGAAATGAAATCTGGTTCTTCAGCAAACTCTTCTTAACTTCACTTTCCTAGTTGAGAGTCTGCTGGTTTAAAAAAATTGAAAAGACATGTGTTTTGAAACACATTTTCATTAGTTCTTCATAAATATATTCCTAGCCGGTTTAGTGTTCCTCTTCTGAGGAAATTTTGGGCTTGGACAGCGGGAAGGAAAACACTGACCCGCTATCTTTTGAGTCGGAGGATGCGTTACTGGAATTCCCCAGTAATGTCTTTGGTGCTATCAAAGAGGATGAGAAAAAAAGCGGTGAAAAAAAACGTCTGAAACCCCATCAGGTAAATACTTTGAATTGGCAAAGAAGATTGTAATTTTAAAAGATTTGTTATTTTCTGTCAAGAAATTTTTCTTACCTAGATTTGGTTGACTTTAATTGACAGGCAAGTTTCATTGAATCCTCTTTTTTTTTTCGATGGAACGCATATCCTCGTATGATTTTTCAAATATCACCAGTTCCTCCAACTTCTCGAGAGATTCACATGGTAGTAAAGCTGATATTTTTGAAAAGAAGACATCAAGGTTTCTCCCAACAGATTTCCGTTTGGGCACGAAGTTACGCATAGAATCACTAAAGCCATTTCCGTGGATGAGAGAGGGTGACCCTCCAGGTGTAATCATTTGAAATTGAAGGTTTTAAAAGTTTTGGACCTCAGTTTGAAATTTTTCAAAATTGATTTATTGGATTTCTACCATGTACAAGTTTAAAATTTTTGATTTCTTGGTAAATTCAAGATTTAACGGTGGCGAAACAAATTTTTCAAAATATTTACTACTTTCGTAGCAGAGGAGGTAATAAGGCTTTTGCCGGTTTAGGTAATTACCAGGTGCGAGTAACTGGGCTAGAATATGATGTTGGTATTCATATTCTTCTTCATGATGAAAAAGATTGCAGACAAGCAAGTTTTATTACATATTCGTTTGAAGTCATTGTTAACTTTTTTTTCTAAAATAAAGGCTAGTGAAAAAATGCTATTCAATAGATTTGAAGGATGCGCCTTGTACTTCGGTCGCCAGAACAAATTCACTAGCTGGATTTGAGGCGGGGACATTTTACTGGGAGTTCCCAAATATTCCTTGGATGATGACTTACCCGAGACTCGATGTCGCTCGAAGATTTGTTGGGATTAAAAAGGAGAAAGCACCAAGTATAAATTCGTTAGGAAAAGTTTTTGTGGAGGGCCTCAATGTTCAGTGGTCAGTTCCCTTTTGAATAGAACTTTTTTGGTAACTCTTGGGTTTTGGATGGCCTTGTTTGTTTTTCGGTTTTAATGATGTACTTTCTGATGGCTAGAATAGAAAGAATTGCTAAGTCATACATTTTTTATTTATTCGAGGATTTTGAGGTCTATATTCACTTGACGTGTTGGAAGATAGACTTCTTGGAATTGAGCTTTCATTTCTTTGATCTGAAAAGCACGCTTTTCAAAAACTTCATGGTTAAGGGTTGGAGCTTTCACCCACCTGTTTTTCTCTTGGAAGAAAGGGACACGTCCTTACTTCTATTTGTGTTGCCCAAATTTTACGGTTTTCTTTTCAAAAATGGCCAAGGAAAACTGCTTTGATGCCGGTGAAAATTCTCAGTCGGGATCAGCTGCAGGAGCCGGTTATTCTTTAATTGTCATGATCTCGCCAACTACAAGTGGATTCCGTCAACAACTCCGTGAAGAAGGTTTGTTTGTTTATGTATTTATTTTTTTCTCCTGGACCTTACTTTTCATTGATAAGAATTTTTAAATTTTCAACTTTTAAGGTATCAATTTTGAATTACCTTTACGGCAGAGTAGCCGGAGATCTTCATTTGAACGTGAGCCAATATATTTCGGTTTGGATAACGAGACATTTTCTACGAATGATAGCGTGGGGGGTTCCTTATTGTCAACAAAATCTGATAGTCACTTAGAAATTATTAGAGCTGAGAGTGCTAAAGAACGAAAAAGCCCAACGAAAGGAAGCACGGAAGGCGCTTTTGAGAGGTGATAGTACAGATCATAATCTCGCTTTATTTTATTATATCGGTTTGTTAGACGAAAGAGCTATTTTAGCATTAAATTAGTTCTTCCTTGTTTTTAGTGAGGACGAACAAGATGCTTCCGGTGATTCAGACCATGCTACATGGCTTCAAGAGATTGGATTTTCTCCAAAGTTTAAAAGAAGACTTACAAGAGAGTAAGTGAGATGTATTTTATTTATTCGGTAAGCTAAAATAAGACATCTATTTTGATCTTTACCGTATCCTATTGAGTATTTTTCCTTGCCGTCTTTTTCAACTGTTACTCTTCATGATTATTTTAGGCTTTCTTTATCTTCATTCAATGAAAAATCCCTCATGGAATCAGCTATGGCTGATATGTCACATCAGTCTGGAAGTCGCATATCATCTCCTACTGATATTTCAAAAACAGTTGTTGTGGTTACTGAACCGGCCAGTATACAGGTCACTTTCTCACCTGTTTGTTTTTATTACTCTATTGTTTATTCTGTTTATTTTTCCTATTTTTAGGCGTTGTTTGACTTCTTAAATGAGTCCAAATTATGCCATCCTATAACGGGCTCCTCCGCTGGATTACCACCAACTCTTTTGTCGGATAAGCCATTTTTACACGCCACCCTCAAAAACTTGACGGTGTGTCGGTATTTTTGTAATCTTTTAGGTGTTAGAAGGCAGTTCTTCTGTACCGTTTTTTAGTTGCTTTTACTTGAAACTGCTGAAGTGTATTTGAAACTTCTTCGCGCATTTCATAAGGTCAAAATTAGTTTTTAAGAAGATGTCTCGAATAACAAGGTCGGAGGAGAACGAGAGCAAATACATATGTGAACTGACGAACGGACCAGTAATGCCGCATATGATATCTCAGGTTCTATTTGCAAGCTTTGGTTTTATATAAAGCTTCTTTATTGTTATTTTTTGTTTCTTTTTCAGTTTTAATATCTCCGCTCTAAAGTTGACTTCTTTTTTTCACACTTTCCAGTTAAACACATTCCTAACAACGTGTCCTTCTTTAAACTTCCCAGAAAACCGGTTGAAGGTTCGTGTTTATGGCCGAAACTTTTATGCTGCATTGAATCAGGTTTGTGGTTATGATGGAGCTGGTGATTACAATTTATATGAATACGTTTTTAACGAAAATCTTTATTATATCAGTTGAAGGTTTTAGAATATTGTCTTCTCAGAGAATAGACAAAGTTTTTTGTTATTATGTGTTATTTAGTTATTTTCTGCCTTTAGTGTTAAGGCTTGTTATGCATTAAAATTTTCTTGTTAAATTTTTGACGTTTAAAATTTTCTTGTTAAATTTTTGACGTTGTTTGTTTATTTACGGCATTTTCATCGCTGTTGTTATTTTCCACTGTGTAATTCCACCTAGCTTCTACCGTTCACATTGTTCATTCTTTTTTCGGATCTCAAGACACTTGAAATTGAAAAAAGAAACCAATCTTTATGTTTGAATCTCAGCATTGTGAAACTTATATTCTTTTTGTCCGCTTGGAATGACGCACTCATTCGTGCTTGTGTTCTATTTTAAGTATCTCACTTCATCTGTTTATCTTTTCAAATTATCTTGACAGTTCATCGAATAACAACCTTTGCAACTGCTAAGTTTGTCTTAAAGTTCATTAAAAAGATACCGATAAAATTCGTTTTTCTGAATTTTGCCTCTACAATTCTCATACTTTTTGTTGGTGGCTTTCTTAGTTGTTCTTTCTGCAGTATTAGAGTTTGTGACGTTTTTGAAACGTGCGTTAAAAACTGTTCTGTGTTTTCAAGGAACTTCGTAATGATTAGTCGGTTTGGTAGGAGCAAATTGGGCCTGTAAAATCTTTTGTTGCTGCTGCTAACTGAGCACTTCGGCTAACTTCAATATCTCTTAACAGTGAAATTTGAAGTGTATAAGTAAGTAGTTTGGTTGGTTAACTACGTTTGCAAAAAACGATTTGCTAAAAGTTTACAAGTACAGAGGGTTGCGGAGCACTCCAACTATTTTATTTGTAGAGGTGGTCGCTATTGCTCATTATCCTTTTCTGCATTTTTAAAGTGCTTTTTGATGGCTAGCTGTACACAACGGTCCGTGGTTTCTGTGGTCATTACCGTAGTTACGACGGACTGGTGATAGGTTTTCAAATAACCTCAGCTTTTCTGATATTTTTTACACGTCCATCAACGATGAGTGGTTTACGATAAGTAGCCCGTACTCCTCTCCTTTAATAAGATCAGTTTTTAACCTACTGAAAGTCATCGAAGACGGAACTGTGAGAACAGGAACAAATCCTCAGTTTCAGAACTACGTAGCCATTAACAAACAAGAGAACATTAAAGGTGCTAGCACGTCCGTTGTAACAGCTAAAGTACTGGTGGTGTATTTCCCCTGCGAGCGTTACAGCGTTATTTATGCGGCAACTATAAAGTTGAGGATCATTCTGTGCTACTTGTCGACAATTGATTGGTCTTGCTGGTGGACAGTTTCATGTTCAAACCCTTGGTGCAGAAACAGTCTGTATCAGAGATCTCAGTGCCATTGTTTTCTAAGACAGCGTCGCTCGGTCGCCTACGAAGTACCGACAATTGTGATTGTATTGGCTCTTATGATAACCCATATTGGGTCACCAAAAAGATACAGAGAAGACAATGATAAGATTTTGGCGTTTAAAGAGAAGAGAACGTTTTATAAGCAATTAGCACATCCAGAACAAAAGTCTGCAATAGTTTAAGCAGCTTTTCAGCCTGACACGCTGGTACTTCTTTTTTTTTTTCTTCAGCAAAGAGCATTGTCTACGGCATCTGAATGTGGGCATCTAGATATCGTACAGTTTTTTGTGGATTACGTGGTCGACACTACCACTGAATATAAAGACGGGGTAATTTAATTGTAAGATCTTAACTCAAACACCGCCTGCAGACAGTATTTAAGCGTAACACTTTTGATAATCTCTTATGAAATAAAAAGATAAGAAAATAAAGACAAAAAAAGTTAAAAGTTACTAATGAAAGAAATAAACAAATATTTGAAAAAGGCTGTTCTACCAAGCAATAACTCCTTAGTATTATGCTCAGTGTTTAACAAAAAATTGTTCTTGAGTTACTTTTTTTGATTTCTTTCTAAATCTGCGGTTCTCTACTCGCATGTTTTTTTAAACTGAAGTTAACCTCTTAACTTCACAGTTTCCAGTGGCTTAATGGCTAAAATATAAGCTTCAAATTTATCGCGCATTCTTATTAAAGGCAAATACTATAAGACTGCTTCGTTTATCTTCTGCAGTACAGAATTTCAGATTCGGTTTTACGATAAAAAAAAATTTGTTTTTTTTTTTAGAGATTCTTGCTTTTTAAGGCTGCTTACAGCGGAAACGTGGAGTTGGTAAAATACCTTGCCAATCGCGGAGGCGCTGTTACTGAAGAGGACAAATATCATGTAAAGATTTATATAATCCTGTAGGAAAACCATGCTTTTGTATAAACTGCTAGCTGATTTGGCGTAGTTAGCGTTTTAAAGGTGCCTGTTGTATTTTAGAAATTTTTTTATATAACTCTCTCCGAAGCCCTCTCACTCCATTGAAAGTGAGTGATGACACGATATTTTTCAAAACTTACTTTTTTCTCCGGTTGTAAAGAACGTTCACTACAGTAACCATAACTTCAAAAAGAGTTGTTTTTTTAATTTATAACTTCCACAGTTTTAATACTGGGAACCACATTTTACTTACATTTTCTTTCGCTTTGGGTGTTTTTACAGAAGAGTGGCATGTAGATGTGGTCTGAACGTTTACTGTTAAGTACCTGAGAAGGCGATACGAGAAGTCGCAAAAGAAGTGTTGAATGTGAATAGCTATACGCTAAATACAATATTTTATATTACTAAAACGTATCAGATAAGTTTGTAGAAGCATAGCGAAATACAGATGCTGAGGAGAGCATCTGAAGAGTTTTACCGAGGGGACAGGGTGATACAAAGAAATAATAGTTATTTGACTAAATATAGAAATTAAAATAACATTAATAAACTTATGAATTGTAGAGATTAGTAAAAGCATTAAAGCTATAAAACTGGACACTTTTTTCCTTCCAAATTCATTGAAATGTTTACAGAATTACAAAGCGTAAATAGAAGGCAGTTTGTTGCCAAATCTAATTAGAAGAGAGTATAAGTTAAAGAGATTGAAGGAAAGGAGCCTAACGAAATGAAAAAGGAATAATAATCTGAAAAAAAAAAATGTTATAAAATAATTTTACTTATGCCGTAACTCTGACAAGAAGCAAAAAGGTAAAAAAAAGAGAGGCTACTTTTATAAACGAAACAGAGATATTACAATTTAACTTTAGTCATAGTTCAATTATATTTTTTTATTTCAGTTTTGCGTACTGCAGATCGAATAAGTGGTTTTTTCAAGTAGATAAAAAAGTGTTAAGTGACTTAAATAAAGTGGTTTTTGCGAATAAAGTAAAATGATTTACTTCTTTAAGTTTGGATAAGAAGTGAATAAAAAATGTTACTTTTTATTTTAAACACAAAATGCATTAAAAAAGTTATAGAAATATGGGAAGTATATGATACCTTTATGACTCTTTTAGAGAACTGCTGTTGAAGTTGCTTGGAATCTCAAAATCTGAAAGTTTCTTTCTGGTAAGT